GGGACTCGATCCCGGGACTCCAGGATCATGACCTGAGCCGAAGGCAGTTGCTTAACCAACTGAGCCACCCAGGCGCCCCTAAATAAATAAAATCTTAAAACAAAACAAAACTTAAAAGAAAAAAGATTGTAAATATGTAAAGCAATGCCACTCTCACTAAATTTTTGTTTGGAAAGTCGTTCTTTCATGTAATAGATTTAATACTATTATTTTTAAATGAATTAAAAAATTTTAAATGTTCACTTTCAATACAGTAAATATTGATATAAACCATATAAACAGAGCTCTTTAGGGGCCTCAACAATTTGTAAAAGCATAACAGGTGACGGGATCTTGGGAAGAAAAAGTTTAAGATTGCTCATCTAGCCAATCTAAACTGTTCAGTACTCCTGGTCTCCGATGGTAAGGCACATTTTCCCTACCTACCATGTTTTAATTCAAAAAAACTGATGTAAAAAGGGTACCATAAAGTGAAAAACAGTACTAGGCCAGGTATGTGCCTCTACCTGAGATTGCATTTCCTAATTTGTAAACCTATTTTGTAACATTTGTTTGTAGTAATATCTTCTATTATACACCATGAATGGCATTCCTAAAAGTTCCTCTGCATTTCAAGACAGTAGCCAGAGGTTGCAACAAAAAAGATTTCTCAAGGAAACTTCAGATTTAAACTATATACTTCAGGGGCATCTGGGTGGCTCAGTCGTTAAGCGTCTGCCTTTGGCTCAGGTCATAATCCCAGGGTCCTGGGATGAGCCCCGCATCACACAGGGCTCCCTGCTCCGCAGGAAACCTGCTTCTCCCTCTCCCACTCCCCCTGCTTGTGTTCCCTCTCGCTGTCTCTCTCTCTCTCTTTCAAATAAATAAAATCTTAAAAAAAAAAAAACTGTATACTTCAACACGCCTTTATTAAACCAGGTATACTACTGAAATATAAAGAAATCCTAAGAATTTGTAAAAAGATTACCAAGACTGATGTCATTAACGCAGTCTAAAGCTTCATATACTGAAACAACTCATCTTTGTTACAGAGACAGAACCTTAATTTTTGATAAGGTAAATAGAAGTCTACTAAACTCCCAATCAGTTCCTTGAACACGTCTTTAATGTCATTTGACATATTTTTAGCTGCTATAGTAATAAAAAATAATTTAACAGTATCTTTAAACAAAACTAATTTTGCTCAACTCAAAAAAATAAGTACAAAATCCTGGTTCTATTTTTTTAAGCAAAATGGAAAGAGCTATAAATTACTGGGTTCCCTGCCCCCTCTAGTATCTAGAGTATCCCTGCATACAATCAAATAATGTAAATATAAAATGTTATTGTTAAACTATTAAGAACATAAGGGTAAAAACATAGATTTCACCACAGCAAAGACTGATAAAGACTACCAGCTTTGGTTCCTAGTAGATTCAACCACCACTCATTTACAAAAATATTTCTGAGTACCTACTATGAGCCTGGTATGCTAGGCACTGGGGATACAATGAACAAAAAAATAAGTTTTAATCTTCATGGGACTTGCATTCTGCTGTAAGACAAACACACAAGCACACACACGTAAGAATTATAAATGTGGTAAATGCTTTGCCACAGATTAGTTTTTGAAAGCTGAATTGTGGAATTCTAAAACCTAAAAATAAATAATTCATGAAGAGTTACATTAAGATGATATGGGTTCTACAGATCTTTACTAATGCATAAGAAAACTACAGACACTGCCCATGAAAACAAAGATCAATCTTTCATTGTCAAAGCTAGCAGATGGCATTACTTGGCAATATAGTAGCCTTAAAAGATAATTGACCTTACAGTTCCACAGAGTTAAAAAGCATGTAAACACAATCCTTAAAAAAACCTCTAAGAGGAGCCTAAAGAGGCACAACTAAATGTAATGTGGTATCCTGAATTGAATGCTAAAACAAAAAAAACGATAAAAACTAAGGAAATGTCAATAAACTATGGACTTTAGTTAATAATAACATCAATATTGGCTCACTCATTATAACAAATGTAACATACTAATGTAAGATGTTAAGAATACTGAGGAATGCCGGGGAAACTGGGTGGGGCTGTGTGGGAACCCTCTGCACAATCTTCTCAATTTTCTGTAAACCTAAAACCATTTTAAAAAATAAAGTCCATTAAAAAAAAAATCTAACCCATAACTTCGGGAGGGGTGGGGGGGGAGACAGGGGGTGTTGTCAAGACTTAAAATAAAAAATGAGAAGCCACCAAACTCTGCAATGTGAATTAAAACATAAATACTCAAAGAATTCAAAGGAAACCTGCAGATACTGAAGTTATGATCACTACTCATACTAAAATCTTCCAAGGACAGGGGCACCTGGGTGGCTCAGTCATTAAGCGTCTGCCTTTGGCTCAGGTCATGATCCCAGGGTCCTGGGATGAGCCCCACATCGGGCTCCCAGCTCTGCGGGAAGCCTGCTTCTCCCTCTCCCACTCCCCCTGCTTGTGTTCCCTCTCTCGCTGTGTCTCTATCAAATAAATAAATAAAATCTTTAAAAAATAATAATAAAATAAAATCTTCCTAGGACAGAGATTAATGGATTTGTCATGCAAACTAAATAGCTCTGTATCACAACATAAGGCCAGCAATAACATCCCTAGAGTGTACAATAAGCACTTTAGATCCTATTTATCAATAATGACCAATACACAGTATTTTATGCATGGCATTGTCCTGAAATTGCCATAAAATACCTAGACTGGGATCACCCTCATAGGTCTTACCAAGTTACGTCAAGAAACAAGCTTATACTTGCTTCAGGAAAATTCATAAGCAAAGAGGAGACTATACTTTTCCTTGGTAGGGAGGGAGGCAGTAAATATATATTGAAGAGAGAAAAATGATTTCTCAGCTCCAACTGGAAGCAATTTTGCAACTAATGTTAACCTATTTTAATTCCATATATATTAGTATAAACAGTTCAAGGCAGTAGTAAAAGCTCTGAATTTATAAGTTATCTGCTTTCCAATCAAAAGAAATTGTCTTCTCTACAGCCTAACCTAAGGTACCTAGCAGTTAACTCAGTGTCTGATGACTTGGGAAGAACTAACCTCTCAATGTCTGAATTTTAAAGAGGATCATGAAAAGTGTGAGAAAAACAAAGGAGGACGATAATCTCTACATTGTCCAGTGCCAACTTTCATAATTCAGCATAAAACTGGAATCATCACAAGAAATAATTTTAGAGAAAACCATCACAAAGCTAGGATCTTGTATATAATACAAAGTAAGCAATAAGCAACATCAGAAGCCTGACCAGGTAAGATCATTCCACTCATCACATACTATGGAATATTAAGCAAAAAGGGTCATTTAGCCGAAACGGTATTACATACTGAAATCTAATTTAAGATAACTAGATGATCAATCTATTCTACTCTACTCCATTACTCTCTAGCCCCAAAGGAAATCCTACAAAACAAAGATGTTCGTTATTCTCAGGCCTTCTCTCACAGGAATCCTAAATATACAATTGGAAAACACTAAGAAAAGGAATAATTAACATTTCTTCGGTAATTCCTGTTTGCACCACCATAAAGAAAATTAGACACTGCTTCATGTTCAAAGGAGAAAAAGGAGAGGTGAGATGTGAAAAATTCCAAGTCAAACGATCATGACATAGCATCTGGCAGAGATCGGGAAAGCATCAACAGTGCCAAAAGAATTGTCAGGGATCAAAGTCATGAGAAGAAAATGAGGTTTTTCCGATAAGCCACAGCCTAACCCAAGAAGCAAAAATCGCCACTGCCGCCGCCACCCCTTACTCCCCAACCACTCCATCCTCAAGTCGCCTCCAATGGACATATACCCTCCATAACCCAAACTAATTCCCCACCCAAGTGAAAACAATCCAAGAATTTCTACGACCCCCCCACTTCCCACCGCCCACAAGATCCGCACTTCCCAAGGCCAAGCCTCTAGGGAAAACAACGCCCTAATCCCCCCACCCTCCTTGTCCAAGGTTGAAGACAGTCGGTTCCCCAGAGTGGGGCTTCCCGGGGTGGGCCTTCTTAGAGCTGACGAACTGGGATAAAAGCCAAGAATAAGGGTGGGGCTCCAGAAAGGGGGCTACGGTTGGTGAGACGACGGGACCGGAGGAAGAAAGGGATGGACAGCAGGCTGGGGCTGGGCGGAGTGAGGACTGGGGGGTGCAGATCGACGGGCGAGGCCCGGGCTGTGAGAAAAGGAGACGTCGGAACCGGGGACGGAAGGATCAAAATCTGACCGACGGATCAAGACGAAAAGGAGCTGGTGGCTAAGAGGGGTCGGCAAACACCAGGCAGGGCTGTGGGCTAGCACGGAGCGCGAACGCGAGGCGGGTAGACAGCCTTCGCGGACAGAAGGCCCGCACTGGGGGCGGTGCGGGGAAGCCGAGGCCAGCTGCCAGGAGTGGGGGAGCCGCGCACTCACCGCTCTGCTCCCCCAGGAACACCAGCTTGAATTTCCTCAGCGGATTCCCGAAGTCTCCGCCCGCGGACATGATGGAGCCGGAGGAGCTGCCGCCGCCTCAGCCCAGAGACCTCTCGGACCGACGCTGCTCCAACCGGTTGACGAAAAAGGCGAGAGGAAGGACCGGTGCCAAGCTCTCTCGGACCCTTTAGGGCCCGGCGGCGGAGCAAGGCTGCAGGGCAGGACTCCTCCCTACAGACAGGCAGCGGTCGCCGCCGCCTCCCCGCAGAGTCGCCTAGCACCGAGCGAGGCCCGCGGCTGGGAAAGGAAGGATGGCGGTGTCGGAAGCAGCCAGGGGTGTGCTCGAGGTTCCCGAGGCTAGCGCCGATCCCCTCTCAGCACCCGGCACCGAAACTGGGGTGAGAGAAGCGGAAGGTGGCGGAACTGGAGCCGCAGACGCGTCTGGGACCTCTCACGCGCAGCGCCTCAGCTCTCACAGCTGCCGCCGCCGCAGCCCAACCTGCTGAGTGCGCGAGCCT